CGAACATAAAAACAACACACAGAGATTAAAATTTTGGAATGTCATTCTGAAAATAAACAGAAACAAAATAATACCAAAAAATCATCAAATGCACAGTGAAGTAGCTGCCAGAGGAAAAAAAAAAAGTATTACTTGGCCAGGCGTGGTAGCTCACACCTGTAATCCCAGCACTGTGGGAGGCCACAGCGGGCAGATCACCTGAGGTCAGGAGTTCGAGACCAGCATGGCCAACATGGCGAAACCTCATCTCTACTAAAAGTACAGAAATTAGCCAGGTGTGGTGGGGTGCGCCTATAATCCCAGCTACTTGGGGGGCTGAGACAGAAGAATTGCTTGAACCCCAGAGGTGGAGGTTGTGCTGAGATTGCACCACTGTACTCCAGCCTGGGGAACACAGTGAGACTCCGTCTCAAAAAATAATAGCAATAAAATAATATTTTAGATACTACTGTAGTATATTTTTGCAAAGAATACTACTAATATCTGCATCATTTTGTGCAAAAAGCCATACTTCCTAAGTAGCATTTTTCCTTGGTATTCCTGATTTCTAGAAATTATTCTTTCAAGTTGGTCAGATGTTATTCTTAGCATTGGTAACTGCATTCTACTGATTTCTCCCTTTAAGGCAATGGTTCTCAGACAGAAATACACATCATTTGGGGGGATAATTTTGAAAATACACATTCCCAAGTGCCATTCCTCAGAGACTGCTTAAGCATGTATGGAGTAAAGCTACAGTATCTGTTTTCTGAAATAATTCCTCCAGTGATTCTGATTGCTGGTTGAGAACCACTGCTTTAAGGAATGAATTACATACTTACTCTACTGATTTAAAAAGCTCTTATTGATCCTCCATTGCTGAAACTTTGTCACTGTGGGACACACAGCTGTCAGAAGCAAAAAGGAAATCTCCACATTCCATTACATATTGTAAAGAAAAAGTTAAGCCAGGTGCAGTGGCTTACCCCTGTAATTTCAGCACTTTAGGAGGCTGAGGCGGTGGATAAGGAGGTCAAGAGCTCGAGACCATCCTGGCCAACATGGTGAAACCCCATCTCTACTAAAAATACAAAAATTAGCTGGGTATGGTGGTGTGTGTAGTCCAAGCTACATAAGAGGCTGAGGCAGGAGAACCGCTTGAACCTGGGAAGCAGAGGTTGCAGTGAAACAAGATCACACTACTGCACTCCAGCCTGGTGACAGAGTGAAACTCCGTCTCAGAAAAAAAAGAACAAGTTAAAGAGATCTGGTAAAATTCTCCATTCAAAGAACATGCAACCATACTTGAAAACACTTTTTATATATTTATTTATTTTAAAGTGTATATTCAGGACAAATGGTTTTAAGAATGTATAAAAATAATTCACATATTAATCCAACTTCTCTATTTACATGGTCCCTTAAAAGATTTTCATTTCATTATCATCAAAAATGTATTTCAACAATCTCCACAGTGCTCTCAAAAGTCAGGAATTTTAAGACTTCCTAATAGAAAAATTTTAGTATTTATCTACAGAAAAATAAGAATTATATCCTATTTTAAAATATAATGTCTCTGCTATGCTGTGCCACATCAGAATAATCTTCACACTAAACTATAATAATCCCAAGTGCTGGCATTTCCGTTTAAGAACAAAGTACAAAAATATTTCATAGAAAAAAAATATTTCATCATAAAAAACATAGAAAGTTGAATGCTTCAAACAGAAATATCTGAGGTCTGATTTCACAACATCAAGTTTCTATATCCACTTTGTAAACATATACTCAGTATAGGTTACCAACTTAAATAAAGCCAGTTATCAATAAAGGAAGACGTAGTTAAAAAAAAAATTCAGTGCAAAAATATGTATCAACTAATCAACTGACCTATAACAATTTTCATAAAAATCACAATTTGAATCCCATAATATAAAGTGATCCTCTGAAGACTTTAATTAAAAATAAAAAGCTCTACAACAGCAATCGAGTTTTCCTTGTGTTACTATTCTCTAGTAAATGCTTTTTTTTGATTAGCTTTTACAATGTCATCAGGTGATGCTGATTTGAAGTCAAATGGTGTTATCGCTACAAGAGGACTTATTTCTTTGTCCTTTACATCTTGAACTTGTCTACTATAAAGAAAAGTCTTATAGAGGTTAAGGGTGCGTCGCTTGCAGCTTTTCAGTGGGTAACGAAGACACAGTGTTGTGGCAAAAGCTGAAGGTCTAGCAGCAAGGGCCTTGGTCCAAGAGAGAGAAAAAGGTGGTTTCCTAGTCAGAGAGCCTTTATTGTTTTTCCTATTATCCTTAGCAAAATTGGAATTCTTCCCTAGCTTTGAACTTAGAACTTTAGATCGTGATGATGGAGCAACCGATTGGTCTACTATAGGCTTTGGAACAACATCTGGGTTTTTTATAAGGACACTAAGATCAATATTTGAATCTATTCCAGGAGACCTAACTTCAGATAAACTGACCTCAAAGGACTCCTTCTTAATCTGAGAGTTGTCTACATCAATTGTTTCTGCAATCAATTCAGAAAGTGACAAATTCTCAAGGTCTCTTGTGGGAGAAGCTTTATGAAATGCCAATGATGACAGAGATCCTGTTAATTCTGATATTCCAGGTGAAGACTGACAGAGATTTGCTAATTGTGACAAGGGAAAGGATCCCAAACTTAGATCTGTGAAACTGGCAGATGACTGGTTACAAAGATCAGATAAAGTAAAGCACTGGTTTATACTGTTTTCTTTGTGTTCTTGAAACAGTTCAGTTAGGGATGGACTTTCACACTGAGAAACTTGCAAATTGTCATTTTTAAAAATGTAATTCTTGGCTTCAGTTTTTTTACTTCCAACTTCAGTTTTTTTACTAGCATTTAAATTATCAACAGTCATATTTTCCAATGAGCTAGTTAAGTACAAAGGATTATTTGAACTTCCTAAACTATCCTGTACTGGAATGTTTTGAAAATCAGATAGTGAATTATTTTGAATATATAAAGAATTATTCGGTGTTGTGCTCTTTATCACTATGGACTTTAAGTCTGGTACTTCTTTGAATGCAGAATCATCTTTGGAAACACATTCAGATGCATGAGGTCTCAACAAATCAGCATCTAGTTGCTTTGAAAGTAGGCTTTCCAGGCTATCTGTAGATGATAATCTGACTGATGGCTGACTTTCACAGGAATCTCTTGATATACCATGAATTAGGTCAGCTAGTGAAGGTTCTTTTGTTAACTTACATGATTCTAGTTTCTTTTCACTTTTAAGTCTGCCAAGTTGCTTTTTTCTATGGAGCAAACAGTGACTTGGAACTGAAGAATTAAGAGATAATCCATATTTTCCTACTGAGCTAGAAAAATCAAAGGGTTTGCTACTATAATCCAAATGATTTGCTGACTGAGGATAAGAACCTTGACCATTATCAGCTGAAACTTCAGAAGAAAATAAGACTCCTTACCTTACAAGAGCCATTAATTTTCAGATGAATAGGTTGATATACGAAGAAGACAGTCACAGCAACCAAAAGGAAACATGAAACGAGGCATTTAATTACTAAATGCTTCTTTTGATTATGACATGAATAAAGTGATACTTGATCATTATTTAACATTAAGTGAATACTCCAAAACACAATAAGGGAATATTACCTTCCTTTAGCAATTTAAAGTAACCTTTATATTCTGTTCACTGACATATACAATGTAAGTATCAAGTCAATCAATGTTCTAATTTTCATGAATTTAAAAATGTGAGGTTTTAACCATAATTAAATTATAGTCAGGATTGTCTCAAATTCAAAAAAAAAAAAAAAAAAAAAAAAAAACAGGAAGAACTAGGTTCATTTTCTTCTGTATTTTGTATTAGAAACAAACAAGCAAAATTACCCCAGGTAATTTCTACCACAATCTTGTATACACCATCAATACAAGATGACATATTCCAGACTCATTCCCATCACAGCCAGTTAAAAGGGCCCATCTGTGTGCCCACCGTCCCCCCAAAACACACTCTTACTTCATGGTAACAAGGCTGTATACAGCTTTGTTGTAGCAAAAATTCAGCCCAGAGTTTACAATCAACACTGACATAGTTAACAAATCATCATACTCATACTGAGAGATGGCATGCCAATTAATATAGTGGTAGACCTCAGTTCCCCTCTTATGTCCACTGAATTCCAAATTTAACCCCAAATTTTACAAATTTAAAATTAAATATCTGGCTATAAAATGCAAACCAGTGTCATATATCTAATGATATTTAAATAAAATAAAATTATACATAGTAAAAGGATAAAGGGATTTTTCTTTAACATAATTGATTGGCTGTTAATTTCCTTTTTCTATCATATTAGAGTTAAAAAAAAAAAATTAAAAAGTTCTGTAAGCTACTAACAAAAAGAAAAAGATGTCTTATCTAATTTTATTTCCACTACATAGTTAGTTATAAAATCAAGTAGCGAGGCTGGGTGTAGTGGCTCACGCCTGTAATCCAAACACTTCGGGAGGCCAAGATGGGCAGATCACTTGAGGCCAGGAGTTCGAGGACAGCCTGGCCAACATGGTGAAACCCCGTCTCTACTAAAAATACAAAGAGAAGAACATTAGCCAGGCATGGTGGCATGCACCTGTAATCCTAGCTACTTGGGAGGCTGAGGGGAAGGCAATCACTTGAACCCGAGAGGTGGAGGTTGCTGTGAGCAAGATCACACCACTGCACTCCGGCCTGGGTGACAGAGTGAGACTGTCTCAAAAAAACAAAACAAAACAAAATTCAAGTAGTGAAATAACCAAAAAAAAACAGGCTATAACAGAAGATGGGAAACACAGTACTCATCCTAAAAATTCACAAACAAGAAGATCAACTGATAATCAAAAGTTAACAGTGATATGCAAGATTTTCGTAATAGCTCAAGCAAATTAAATTTTTTCTTAAAAGCTCAACCACATGAAAGCCTCTCTTTAGGCATTAACCATGTAAAACAATTGAAAGAGAACCAATAAAGGCATACCTTTTGCTATCTTTCCTGTAGATACAGTTCCCTCATTCTTGTCCTTCAAATTCTGCACACTATCTTGTTCCAGAACCCCTGACAAAGCCTTCTGCACATCAAACTTGTTCTTCAGAACTGCTTCAATTAATATGTCATCTGGCACAGCATCTCCAAGTACCTCTCTCATGTGATCAAGGCATGAATAAAGACGAGCTAGAAAAGACAACAATGATCAAAAGCTACACTAAATGGTGCCATGAAAGAACTTTTAATCCTCAAAACTGATTTTAAAATGTACAGCTGTACTAGAATATTCAACTCTCCTTTCTCTTTGGCAAAAATTATTTCTATTGATCATATTTTTATCTATAATCTACCCATCTTCCCTTATCAGAGGAATTTCATTAATTTAAAAATCACTATAATAAAATGTCTCCTGAGATGTTTGAAAACAGTGTGTATTGCAAAGTATGCACTAATACCTATTTTCAGTCAACAATAATGATGGTATCTGCATTGATCATTTTTTGCACGTACACAAAGGGAGGGGTGGCTGTGGAACTATTTCTAATTTGTTAGTGAACCCAATTACTCACGAAGTATATTTTTCAAGCTGCTACCTTAAGTTTCCTTTTTGGCTAACTTCAGTTCTTCCTAGTCAACTAAAATAATCCTTAACGACTCTTTTAGAAACAGCAAGATAACATAATATAAACATGCCATAAAAATAAGAAAGTCCAATAGATTAAGAGGAGAATAGGCATTCTTTTTTTTTTTTTTTTTTTCCTTCTCCATTGCTTGGACTCCTCAATCCAACCTACCATCATCTTTTGCCTATACTGTTGCAGTAGCCTTTTATTTATTTATTCTTATTTTTTTTTAAAGTCAGGGTCTTACTCTGTTGCCCAGGCTGGGGCGCAGTGGCGTGGTCTCAGTTCACTGCAACCTCCGTCTCCCAGTTCAAGTAATTCTCCCACCCTAGCCTCCTAAGTAACTAGGATTACAGGCACCTGCCACCAGACCTGGCTAATTTTTGTATTTTTAGTAGAGATGGGTTTTACCAAGTTGGTCAGGCTGGTCTCAAACTTCTGACCTCAGGTGATCCACCTGCCTCGGCCTCCCAAAGTGCTGGGATTACAGGTGTGAGCCACCACACCCGGCCAGCATTCATTTATAAAACAAAAAAAAATTAAGTCTGGAATTATCTAAGCTGTTTAGGAATTTTAATTTTCTGATGATGACATAATTATAAAAAGTATTTATTAGTAATACTTATTAATAATGTAAAATCCATGAGAGCAGAGAGGCTTTGTATCCCTAGAACCTAAAACAGTACCAGGTAACTAGGGGCCAAAGAATAAAAATGAATGATATATTCCTTTATATTTGCATAGCACTTGACAATTTTCACAATGCTTTTATGTATATTTCTTTTGTCATCCTCATAATAACTCTATGAGGTAGATATATCAGGCAAATTCTAACTTAATAAAGATAAGATTGAAAATCATGACGCTATGAAGTTAGCAATAATCAAAATAGAACTGAGGTTTTCAAACTCCCTAGTCCATAAAACCATTTCATAGAATGCAATTTATATTTAATTGTATATGTTTATATGTTGAACAAGCAATCTACTGGCAATACCCTTTCTTTAAAAAAAAAGTATTTAATACTTTTTCCATTGGCCCATTTAATTATTAAAATTAAATTCCTGAAATATTTGGGCAATTCTGCTTTGCTTCAGTGTAAAATTAACTTTAAAAGGCTAATAAGCTATACTGGGAAAATAATATTTATTTGATAAATACATCAATTATGGAAACTGTAACAAAATACTTAGCATAGCTAGCATCAGGGCCTCTTCTAATTGTAGAAACTATTTTCTATATACACCCAAAGAGGCAGTATAGTGAGGGGGTTAAAAGTAGAGGTTATAAGGCCAGGCATACTGGCTCACACCTGTAATCCCAGCACTTTAAGAGGCCAAGGCAAGTGGATTACTGAGTCAGGAGTTCAAAACTAGCCTGGAGAACATGGTGAAACCCCATCTCTACTAAAAATACAAGAATTAGCCAGTCAAAGATCAATTCCCAGATTCATAAATTTCTTCTGTTTTAAAAATATTATAAACTTTCAATGTAAAAACAATCACAGTGGCTCACGCCTGTAATCCCAGCCCTTTAGGAGGCGGAGGTGGGTGAATCACTTGCGGTCAGGAGTCCAAGGCCAGGCTGATCAACACGGTGAAACCCCGTCACTACTAAAAATACAAAAATTACCCAGCTGTGGTGGCAGGGGCCCATAATCCCAGCTACTCTGGGGGAGGGAAGGAGGGTGAGGCAGGAAAATCCCTTGAAACTGGGAGGCAGAGGTTGCAGTGAGCTGAGATTGCGCCACTGCACTCCAGCCTAGGTGACAAAGTGAAACTTTTGTCTCAAAAAAAAAAAAAAAAAAAAAAAAAAAAAAAAAAAAAAAAAACTTTTATAAAAAAAAAAAAAAAAAAAAAAAATTGTAGAACGAAAACACACTCCGGAGAAAGATCGAATCAACTCAGCCATGTTATGAACAAATGGCATTATTGTTAAGCCTGGTCATTTTAGTTCTGCTACCAAATCTATGGCTTCAGTGATGTTTGAAGCCATATCATGTTTGAAACTTATTCATAAAAGAAGAAGGCCAAAATATAAATATCTTTGTTAAAATGTTTAAGAGTTGAAAACATGCAAACCCAGAACAAGTATCATTACTAAGTTCTATCTTGAAACTTAATTCACATAGATGTAAATCCTGAGGACACTTATACAGTGTACTTTAGCCTTCAACTGTTTTCTTCAAACCTTTTGAACTTAACATCTTTCTAAGTAAAAGAATTTATGTATTCTAATCATAAGCCCCACATACAGCTTATTAAACAATTAAATCATCTCAAAAAGTTCTTTTTAGCAAATCACTGGAGTTTCTCTCCCTCGAAAAAGAATTTTAAATGGGATAGTTCAATTAAAAGTTCAGTTACTAAACAACAGCCATACAATTTTCCAATCATAGTTAAATACATTCCTCACAAAACATACTTAATAAAACATAAATTTTCCTTGAATATGTAAGACATGTTTACATCATTACTGTTCCCAGTTATTGTTATAAACAATCACAATAAAACTGATACATTCTAGTGTATTTGGTTATTAATCATTTTTCAGGTAAGAAACACAGATACACTACTTTTTTGCTATACCTTGATCAAATCCACTGAGCTGATGGTTGGAAACAGAATTGGAAGATTCTTTCAGATCTTCATAATCATATTCTTCTACAGGCTCAAAGGAAGGTTTGTCACGCCGTGAATAAATAAACTGAGCAGCTAGAATATAAAATGATCAAAGAATGCTATGGTATAGCCATTTCCTATTAACTTTTTTTTTACAAAAGCTAAAGTTAAAAAAAAATTCTGATCAATCACCTATAGTTACTCACATTTCATAAGAAATGAAAACAAAAACAATATCATACCAAAACATATACCCAAAATCCTACTCAAATGTGCTTACTACTTATTAATCTCTTATAATCTTCTTCCTTCTTTCCCCCAGTCTCTGAAACCATTCCACCCAGCCTACTTTCTTCATGGTTTCCAAAATCCACCTTTCCTAATATTTCTTCTTTGTATACTATTCTGTGTCCCCTGAAATGTTCTCTTCTTTGAGACAAATATTTCAAACCAAATATCAAACTTCTAATTTGCATAATGAAGAAAACACAAGGGGGCCAGATGCCGTGGCTCACCCCTGTAATTTCAGCACTTTGGGAGGCTGAGGCTGGTGGATCATCTGAAGTCAGGAGTCCAAGACCAGCCTGGCCAACACGTTGAAACCCCATCTTTATTAAAAATATAAAAATTAGCTGGGTGTGGTGGTGGGCACCTGTAATCCCAGCTACTCAGGAGGCTGAGGCAGGAGAGCCACTTGAACCCAGGAGGTTGCAGTGAGCTGAGATTGCACCATTGCACTCCAGCCTGGGTGACAAGAGTAAAACTCTGTCTCAAAAAAAACAAAAAAAAAAAGAAAAGAAAAGAAAACACAAGGTTAATTTTCACTTCCCAAAAAGTGCTGATTTTGCCTGAATCTAAGAGTTCATGAAAAATACAAACTTCAATCTTTAAACAACCCATGCTTTCAGTCATACACTTCCAATCACACAATGACACTGTAAACTAGTGTCATATACCTAACTTTAACTTTCAGACGTCTGTGCTACTCTGCAATACTGCCAATAGCATCACTCAATATATTAACTGGGGGGTTGTGTGTGTGTGTGTGTGTGTGTGTGTGTGTGTGTGTGTGTGTATACACATAATCAAGGAAAGAAAAAGCAGATTATCAAATTGCCAATACATGCCTGAGTATCATAAATGAAATACAAGTGAGCAAAGGAGAAAATCACAGGTATATGCAAAGTACTAATGCTTCCAGCTCTATTGGATGGCGACTGAACTTAATCCTGGAGACTCTGTTCAATTGTAAAGGAACAAAATTAAAGAATATGTTAAGAAGGACAGAAATATAGATATAATATTCAAAAGGCAAGGTATTATCAGAGGTATTATCTAGCTTTCTACAAGGGCACGAAACATGTTAATTCCATTGACTTGTGTGTGGGTCATCAGAAAGATATTTATTAAAGGGAAGCTACATTCAAAATGTATAGACATACGATCACATGGGGGGTAGAGAAAAAGAAATCAAAATTTATCAATAATGTACAGAACATAAAGCTGCAGTGTATGTGTAACACCTGTACTCAGAAGGTTAATAAGCATCCTCTCTTCATTGTAAAAGTCAATGGCCTGTGCTGGGCACTGTGGCTCACGTCTGTAATCCCAGCACTTTGGGAGGCCAAGGCGGGTGGATCACGAGGTCAAGAGATCGAGACCATCCTGGCCAACATGGTAAAACCCTGTCTCTACTAAAAATACAAAAAATTAGCCAGCGTGGTGGTGCGTGCCTGTAGTCCCAGCTACTCAGGAGGCTGAGGCAGGAGAACTGCTTGAAACCGGAAAACAGAAGTTGCAGTGAGCCGAGATCGCGCCACTGCACTCCAGCCTTGTGATAGGGCAAGACTCTGGCTCAAAAAAAAAAAAAAAAAAGTCAATGGGCTGACAAATTAGCAGGCAAGATAAAGAAGAAAAATGTAATGATTTATTTTAAAAGCCCCAAATAAGTAATACAGACAAGAAGCACTGTGGAAGTATAGAAGTAACCAATGAAGACTGGAGCATTATAATAAAGGAGGTAGGAATACAGAGAAACTTGAAGAGGTGGAAGAGATCCTGAAGAAGGACAGAGTAAGAGAAATACTAATAAAGAGCAGTTGAGATAATTCAATCCATTCTACTATAATGCATGTTTCCTTAAGACAAATTGGCACATATCAATGGGTATACAGAATGATGAAAGTGTAACATTGAGAATGCTTTAGTTTATGAATTTTTTCTCCCAGTACTTCAATGGTTGCATAAAATGTTATTCTCTAAAATTTTAAATCACAAACTTTGATGGAAGTGCTTTCTGAAAAAATGGACAACTATACCAATTTTTAAAATTTAAGTTATTTTGACAAAATAGTGCAAAGAATTCAAAACCTAACACCTGGAACTTCCTAAAATTGTTTCCTAAACATCTTAAAATAAAAATCAAGTGTAGCATTCATTAAAAATGCAGCTTTCTAGGCATCTTCCCCTGGAGATTATGATTCAGTGGTGCTGGAATGAAGCAGGAAATTTGTGTTCTTAAGAATTATTCCGGCGGGTCAGTGGCTAATGCCTGTAACCCCAGCACTTTGGGAGGCCCAGGCAGGTGGATCACCTGAGATCAGGAGTTTGACACCAGCCTGGCCAACATGGCAAAACCCCATCTCTATTAAAATATAAAAATTAGCTGGGCATGGTGGCAGGTGCCTGCAATCCCAGCTACTTGGGAGGCTGAGGAATGAGAATTGCTTAAACCTGGGAGCCGCGTGGAGGATGAGGTGGGCCGAGATCATGCCACTGCACTCCAGCCGAGGCTACAGAATGAGACTCAGTCTCAAAAAAGAAAAAAAAAAGGGAATTATTGCCAGCTGATTAATACCACAAGGAAAGATCAGGAAATACTGGTGACCTACAAGTCTCACCCGCTTTCTTCTGTCCCACCTATATGCCACTTTGTGAACCATGATCAGTTATCTGCACAAAGTACTAGCTCCCATACTCAAAAAACTCCAATAAGTTGCCACTAAACACACAAAATTAAAAACTGTCTTTCACAATTTGGTTCCTATTTTCTTTCCTAGCCTTCCTTCCTCCCACCACTTGCATTAATCCTGCCAGTCTGAAGAAACAAGCCTCATATACGAATCACTGTTTAAGCAACATTGTTTCCTCTAGCTGGGATGCCATTCTTACTCCCAAATTTACTAGCTCCAATCCCAACTCCTTCCAGAAGCCTTCCTAGACTCCTTCAGTCACGGTTATTTTCTTTACCCACCATACTGTTGTGGCAAGTTATTTGAACAAGACTTTAAAGCAAGCTTCCTTATACCAAACTAATTTATAAACTTACTAGAATATTTATAATTTATAAACTTACTAGAAAAACTAGGGTTTTTCTTACAAAAAAAATGAATATACAATAAAGGTTTGAAATTAGAGTGGAGCAACTTCTAATCATACTAGTTGAAACAATACATCATCATTCAAATAAAGTTTTATTCACAAACTCTTTTTGCTATCCCCACTCTTGGACATAGGTTCAATACTCAGTATCGAAGTCAACCTTTCTAAAAGAAAGTAAAGTTAACATTTACAAATCACCATCTTAGGCTGGGCATGGTGGCTCATATCTACAATCCTGGCACTTTGGGAGGCCGAGGCAGGAGATTCACTTGAGCTCAGGAGTTCGAGACAAACCTGGGCAACATAGTGAATCCAGGAAAACTGGGCTTAAATGAATTCAAAAATACACACATGCTGATGAATCTGATAGAAATTTCAATTAACTGGTAAAGTCATTCAACTATCAGATTTCATTACACCATGAATATAATCAGCTTTTCAATGACACTGGCTGCTTCTTTAAGAATAGAAAATATTCTTCTAAAACTATTCAATTTTTTATTGAAAATTACTTGGAAAATAGACCATTAAGAGGAAAGTAAGTTTCTTATCTGATGTTACTGCTATTTTTGAAATGTTTTGAAATAGCAAATTTCAAAAATTCCAAAGTCGTATGCTTTTGTTAAAAATATCAGTTTGTCACAGAAGAAACTCAAAAACATTTAACTATCTCCTGCTTTGATAATATCAGTTGACTTCTTGGTATGTACAAAAAGTAACTCTCAGAGTCAGACTGTCCTGAATACAAACCACATGCAAGAGCCACAACAAAAGCTATGACAGACACATGGATAAACTCTGACCCTGTTCTCAAGAAAGCTAGGTCATAAATGCAAATCTCAAAACACCCTTTGAAAGTCTGACCTTGTGCACTGTTAGCTTATTATTCAAGATAACATATTATTTATCCAGAGATGCCTAGATAAATGACTGTGTTAATGTGCAATATTAAGGTGTCTTTCAGTAATCCCCAGCTCTGTGAAAGATTCCACACTTACATAAAGCCATATTCAACAACTTCCAAGTCCTGTAGACCGCAACTCCTATAAATTTTCTCTTGAATGTATTTCCAAATCCAATGCTATCACTCTTGCCCTAAACAAACGGCTCTTAATGCGTACCATGAGCGTACCCCAGTGGGCTTGTTAAAACATCTGCTGTGCCTCACTCCCACCTTCTGACTCTTGGGCAGAGGCCCCAACATTGCATTTCTAACAAACTCTCAAGTGATGCTGATAGTTCAAGGACCACACTGTCCTAAAATAGCCTCATCTCCTCTAGATAAATACATATAATAGTCTCCTAACAATTCTACTTACATCCACTCATTTACCACCTTTAATTGATTATCCATATATTAGAGATATTTAACTCAAATCTAATATAACCAGTTCCATGAATATGCCATGCTCTCTAATGTGCTTAGAATGTGAGTGATGAGGATAGCGCTACCAGACATCACTTTGTCACCTCTAATATTTAAGCTACCTAGTCAACTATGATGCCGAATTATAGCAGCTGCAAAGGGCAAATGCCTAGGAGTTCCTAGAAAACTGTGAAATTGTCTTGTTCCTGAATCACTATGTCTTCTCTTTTGAATCCCTGAATAAGGATCTGTAAAGGAATGCTGCTTATTAAGCCATCTCTCAGCTTCTAACCCACCACCCTTTACTCAGCTTTGTGATGCTAGATTGAAGTCACTGCAAAGCACATTTCTTCTTCGATACCTGGCTCCCTTTTAGGATCAGCCACTAAGGAGATACTAAAGGGACACTGGAAAGCCAGAGAAGGCAGCCACATGCTCCTTCCTTTTTGCTTCCTGTTCCTAGCATCACCCCAGCAATACTCACTTCACCTTCCAGAAGCAGTTTGTTCCAGTAACAGCAATTAATATCCGTTTTCAGTTTTTCCAAAACTCCCAGAACCAGCTTCAACTTGCCTCTTCACTCCACAGACACCACTACCAGCTAGGTGGTTGGAATTCCCTCTTTAAAAGCTGAATCCCAGCTCCAAGAAGATTCAGGGACCTTCTGAGGCAGTAGCATCAGCCATGCAGTGCCTTCCTGCCCAGAGGTCTGAGTTCTGGCTCCAGAGTCCCGCCTCCAGAGTCCCGCTTGCGAAGTTCACAGGCAAAGCAGCAAAGAACCCTTTCCTCAATATCCAAGTCCCAGCTCCAAGGAGTTTATACCAGAGCTTCTTAAAGGTGGTTTCAACCTTGCCATTTGTTTCCCTAAGAACTAGGGACAGTAAAGTGCTTCCTGAATTTACCTGCAATTTGACCTTCTTGATATCCTGGCTGTACTTTTTGCATTCTTTGTTCTCTAATACCTGGTTAACAACTTTTTATGTTAAATGCTCTCTGATAAAATAGCTGGTGCAATTTTTATCTCCTAATAGAACATGTACTGATAACAGTGAAACATTAAAAGATGAGAGGAAAAGCCATGATTAAGCTAAATGAGAAAAGTACTTGGCCAGAAGAGCAGGCCTATAAATAAAGAGCTAGATGCATTTCAGAATAACTAGTTAACAGGAAAAAGATGACAGAAAGAGTGGACATAAGGAAGTACTTGACCAGAAGAACAGGTCTATAAAGAGCTAGATGCATTTCAGAATAACCGGTCAACACGAAAAAGATGACAGGTAAGAGTAGATGTGATAAAGAAACTTCTATCATACCTATGCATTTATAAAGAAAAATAAATTATTAAAGTCAGAAGAGACATAGTTGGTCTACAGAGGCTAAAAATGGAATTAAAGCAGGTACAGTTCATAAGATAGCCCAGCAGACTACGGGGTAATGAAGACAAGGAGGATGTCTTAGCTCATTCAGGCTACTATAGCAAAATGCCATAAACTAGGCACCTTATAAACAGAAATATGCAACAGTTCAGAGGCTGGGAAGTCCAAAATCAAGGCAGAGTCCGTGTCTGGTGAAGGCCTGCTTTCTGGCTCACAGACAGCACCTACTTGCTGTGTCCTAACATGATAGAAGACCAAGAGTTTTCCTTGGAACCTCGTTTATTAGGGTACTAGTCCCATTTATGAGCACTTTACCCTCATGGCCTGACCACCCGCCAAGGGCCTCACCTCCTAATACCATTACCTTGGGGGTTAGGATTTCAACATGTAAATCTGAGGGAAACACAAACATTCAGACCATGGCAGAATGTTCTGGAAGAAATGGGGGCTAGGCAAGTGGCTCATGCCTCTAATAATTAAGGCTAGGCAAGTGGTTCATGCCTCTAATCCCAGTACTTTGGAAGGCGAAGGCAGGCAGATCATTTGAGGTCAGGAGTTCGAGCCAGCCTAACCAACATGGTGAAACACTGTCTCAGCTAAAAATATTAAAAAAAAATTAGCCAGGTGTGGTGGCGCATGCCTATAATCCCAGCTATTCCGGAGGCTGAGGCAGAATTGCTTGAACCAAGGAGACAGAAGTTGCAGTGAGCCAAGATCGTGCCACTGCACTCCAGCCTGGGAGACAGAGCAACACTCCTCTCAAAAAAAAAAAAAAAAAAAAAAAAAAAAAAAAAAAAAAAGTCAATGGGCTGACAA